AGTACAACCATACCATCGAATTCTTGAACCTGAATTATGGAAAGATATTATGGCAAAATTTATGACTCCAAATAAAGTTGTCACTTCGATTGTTTTACCTCCTCGAGTAGTCTCAGCTAATGTATTGTCACCAAGAAATACCTTTCCTACAACTTCAAGAGGTAAGTAAAATATTATTGATCTTATTAATGATTTTTGTATGATTATTAATATGCTTCTTCCTTTTATTAAAAAAAAGAAGTAGAAAGTAAGTATATCAAACAAAAGTTTATATGACTCATGGATTTATATACAAACCTTTAGAAATATATATAAACTTTCGTTTAACTTGTTATAATTATTCATACGTGCTTATTTAATTGGCTTTATATTATCTATTCTCTTAGTTCGTGAGTATAAAGATCAATTGTCAGGATGTAAGTATATATAACATTTATATAAGTTTATTCTTTCTTTAATTGAATTTTTACATGCTTATATGCACAAGTTGAAAATAGATGATTAAGTTGATAAAAACATTTTTATTAAAAGCTATTTATGAAGCGGGTGCGCTACTATCGCAATGTTTTGAAGGACACGGCTTGAATGCGGAAAGTTTTTCTCTTTGGTGGTGTGATGTATGTGGAAAAAGATTTAGTTCTTCGGTAAATTTTTTAATATTTATAGGTGTACAGTAAGGATAAATATGTATTTACTTTATAAATATTGTCTTAGGAATCTGGTTATTGCGAAATTTGCGATTTTAACGCCTGTCTCGACCATTGCAAGCCTGGACAGAGATGTAAATCTAAGCTCTGTAATAACAGACATCCTCTTTATTATCTTCCATCCCCATTCACTTGGACATGTAATGTATGTAAAATTCCATATCAATATGATGGTCGACATTTTGGATGCAGAAGATGTAATTTCAACTTGTGTTCTAACTGTTTAAACTTAAGCTGAGTAGAGTCGACCCATGTTAGAAAACACAGTACAGTCTAACCTCTCTATAATCACACCATCAGGATGTGCTTATAAATAGTTTATACTTATATAAGTTCTTTTCCTATGTTTATAATAGTTGGTTTTTAAATAGACATGCTTATAAAGAGAATTTTTATATGATGTGCTTATATGGAGTGACTATAGGGAGATTTGACTGTAATTTAATAAAAAAATACATGCTTACAGCTTTACCGGTTTATAACTGTAGTGAATACAATAACTATTTATTATTATTATTTTGCTTTTAATGTAGAATTATAAATAATAAATGTAAAACAAAAATAATTTCTTTATATAAGAATTTCTTGTCTACTAATAATGTGCATAAAAGTGCCTACTAGTAATATGCATAAAAGTGCTTACTAATATTGTGCATAAAAGTGCCTACTAATAATGTATATAAAAAAAAAAACTTTTACATGCGATAAATTCACAGATATATATTTAGTGTAGTATCATTTGTTGTGTGAACTAAATGTTATACTTAGTGTAGTATCATTTGTTGCGTGAACTAAATGTTATAATGTCTAATAAGCATAAGATTTCCAGTAAGGGTGGAATTCAAGATTCTGAGCTTGCTTTTATACATTTAATTCATATGAAAGAATACTGTCTGAAATATAATAGAATGCATCGCGTTGACACGTATCTCCGTTCTAACGTGTCGTTCATAAAATTAATCATTAATTATTAAGTTACAATTTTTATTTCGCACAAAATATGATTATTGTAGTGCAAAATCTCCAATGAGTCCTATATAATAAAATTGTTTCAAGAACTATTTTACCGACGATATCTGCCATCATACAGTATCATTTTTAAGATACGTACTGTACCATTTGATGAATATCCTATTAAGTGCAATTGATGACGCAGTTGAAGATTGATATTTAAAATTAGAATCAAATATTCGATCAAATTAATATAAGTTTGAATTTAACTTAAAGAGCATTTATACTTAAAAGACTCGATATCAATTAGCATAATAATTTCGATTTTATTAAATTACACCAGTGGTGTTCAACACCATAATTGCTATATCTCGAAAACTAGCTAAATAGTCGATGTCGGCTGTACTAAGCAAAAAATCCAGAAACCTCAATCTAACTAAAATTTAGACTACCATGTATCTTTATTATATTGCAGATCCTCAACTCTAAATTTTACTAGCAAAACTACTAATAAGATATATGTGAAGTTGAACACTGGAATTTTTTTTAATGACTATTATTTTAAAATTTCAAAATTAAATTCACATACAAATTCTTGTTTTAATAGCTGCTCGATACGTAAGTATCGAGGCAGCTTTTGTCTCGAATCATGTACTATCCGATCGAACATGTGATA